AAAAAAGTAAAGCTAATCCTCATCTATATGAAGCAGGAGCAGCAACATTGGACATCTAATTTTCTTTAGCCGTACGTCATTTTTTACTAGCATCTATATAATTACTTATACAATTACTTAGGTGGTGACATAAATTTCAAATGCGTCAAGTTGCTAATGGCATTCAAGTCAACAGGTATGAAATGAAGAACAAAAAGAAAAAAACTTGACTCAAAGCCAAAGTTAAAAGAAAACTGGAAAACCTTAAGAGAGACGCAATTTCTGTAAAAACTAACCAATTTTCAACTTTTACTTCACACAAAGAACCATGAAAGTGGCCACTAAAGAAAAAGCATGAAAACAACAACTACTACCCTATCTGGCTTGTTAGAGCACCGTTAAAAAGCATAGCCTAACAGTGCCCAATACCGACAGGCTGTTAATGCTGCCCTCCTTGCAGCTCGAGCACCAAGATCATTGAATATTCAGTCATCAACCATGAGACAAAGTACAAAAGTGTTTTCAATTCAAGAGGGAGTAAAACACATTCTGCAGAGTCGATGTTATTAAAACACATTCTCCAGAGTCAATGTTTCTTGAAATCAATGTTCATATGCCATGGCAGCATGGCCAGAGTACAATTTCCAGCAGGCTTGCTCCCTCACCACATAAAGCTCTCACAAAGTGGGGCAAGCAATATTGCGACCCTTCTTAACTTAATCAACCATGTTACAAGCAACCTTGAAAATGATTATTCAATAGACTGACAGACAAATTTTCCAGGACTTCATCAATTCATATAAATTCCCTAAATTTGTCCTGATAGACTTCGTTCAGATTGGAATTCTTCCACTTATGTCATCAAAAAATTTGTAAAGCTGACCAAGGTCTTAAGCCATATAGAGGTAATACTTCAGCTGTCAAATGCCAACTCCAACTCGTTGTGCTAACATCATTGATGTTTTACATCCCAATATCTGTGATATCAATGAAATTTCTCCAACAAGTTCACAACATTAGTACATTAGAACCTCTTGAACCAAAACTCTTTGGTGATAGTAGAACCATTTTGTGTATTGAAAATATTGTGGTATCGACAAAATAATCATCTCTCCCTCTAAAGAAGAACCTAGATTGAATATAACATAATTGTCCAACCATAACTTTTCTTTCACAATTCCCATTGGCAACGGTTCTCATGACAAGACTATTCAAATCAAGCCAAAGAAAAAGACTACATCTGAATTTATCTTCTCAAGCCCACCTAGGGATTAATACTACCTTGATGTAGGATTCATGATCAATTTCTTAATTTTCCTCAATCTTCTCTGCTCATCTTTCCTTTGTGTATTCCCAGAGATTCACCACTTATTATCACAATTATGGCGAAGTACAAATTATAAATGTTTCAATATGAATTTTCCAGTCCACATTGTCAGCTGAAGCACAAAATTTTTACAATCAGACATATATGAAGACAATAAGTGTGGCATTGTGTAAACCATTAAGGTTATCACTTCACCACATATATAAACAATAACCTCGCAAAGACAATAATTACTCTATCACTTGAAAGAAAAATAAACTGAGGATAAGAGTACTGATGCTACCTTTTGCAGAACTCAGTGATATATCGCGACCCATTGTAGAAAATAAACCACATCAACACAATCACCAGAGTATCTAATTATATTAAGGAATTCACAGCTGCAATTTACAAACAAACTATGAAATACTTGCTTATTTTTTTTTTCCCCTTAGTGAATGATTGTCCATATTAGAAAACGTCTCAATTGAAAGCCATAGCATCAAAAATTATCCTTGAACCTAAATTTCAACATTAAATTTGATTTCGTTTATCTCTTTGAAGTGGTAATATCACAAGGTCAGTGATTACATGATTTACAAGAACGTGTCCAGAAATCTCGAACTAAGAAAGTAAATACCCAATTCAAAAATATGTTCTTAGTCACAGATCAGTCTCAATTATACTGATTATCCCAAAATCAACAACAATAATGAAAACATGGATAATAGAAGTGAATAAAAATCAAACAAAATTTCATTACTTTGAAACTACTGTAAATCGTGGAAATTTAGGAGTGACAAGATTGATAGATGTAGGTATGATTGCTGTAAGAAAATGGATAAAAACATATACACCATCATACACAAATCTAGAATCAAACACAACATGTATACATTAAATAGATCAAACCCAGAAACGAGAATGCATGGAAAAGGATACTGAAGAGATAGCGTTCCCACCAATCCAACATGTAGAGTCCAAAAGTGACGTTGTAAAGATAGATCTTTCGTTGAACCCAGTTCATGACGCTAATCTAATCTAAAGATCAGTGGAACAAACAATTACATGATATGAAAAAATCTATCTGGGCTTTTAATCCGAAAGATGATGTTATAAGTGACTAACCTCTGTCCGACAGCTGAACAGTGGAGATATCGAACGGAATAGGTTTACTGATCAACTTCGACATTTGGACAAGATACGACCGGCATTAGCTAATTCAACCCAAGATAAAAGCCTTCCACAGTTCCATCACCCACAGCCAAAAAGTATTGAGAAATTAAAAATACACCCCAATTTTTGATAAAACAACACATGGGTCCCTGGATATTTAAGTAACAACTTATGTATGCCTAAACACTCTTGACCATTAAATTAAAAAATGTTTTAAATAATGTTTGAGATGTTTTAGAAGGGGATTATGAATTGTGGTTAGGGAGTTTTTTGCAATTATATATTATACTTTTTTGTAAACATTTATATAGGTAAATTTCATATTGATAATATTAATGAAATTAGTTATATAATAAATTTTGTTGTGTGCGATGACTTTTGCACAATAGATGAAAAAGACAGATTTCTTCTGTGATAAACTCGTATATCTTGAAAGTCGACGATCCCGTGATAAATGAACAATCAAAATGGCCAAAGGGGTCTAAGCAATGGCGATGAATTGCTTCAGGAGCTGTCCGATTAATTACGGCGAGTCGTGGATGGTTCGTGGCACATAGAAAATAGGTTAGAAGGACACTGGAGTGTTTTTTAGCATATCCCCTCCGATAATTAAGTCAGTTTTTTGAGAGAGTATAAGAAAAAAACACTATTTGGTGTTCTTGAGAAATTTATTTGCGTACCTTTGTCCTTAGGTTTTTGCCATTATTTATACTTTTAAGGACTCATCATTGTTGATAGGTAAAACAGTAGGTATAGCACAGTCATTGGACAGTACGCCTCTTATTTTGCATGGGAGAGACCCCATTATTAATTGCTTGGGTTCTCGACCATTTAATGTTTTTTCTTCGATGTAGAGGTATTAAATGCTCGAGCCCTAGGACATTTAATGCTCCCTCTTCTCGGTTTCCTTAACCATCGTAGATGTCTCATCAGTTGAAAATTCATTAATGCTTGCCTGAGATTGTTGTATGTCAACAGGGATATTTTTGTCCATTTATCCCTTATTCTGTACTTTATACCACTCGTCTAACTCCCTTTAGCTAAGTGTCTTATTCATTCAACCATTTTGACTTCGTTGGAAAAGTAACTCAATGATCCCTAGTCTAGTTCTGAGACTGATTAGCTGTTAATCAATAATATCTCCGGGAGCTAAAGACACGTGACAATACCAAAATTCATTAAGTGCCCTCGGTGCAGAGGAGACGTGGCTACATCAGAGCTACGTAGGTACCCTCGAAATCGAGAACATGTGTCTATGTCAGAGCACCGGAGAAATCCTTGACACTAGGGACACGTGTCATCATTGGAGGGCAAAGGATGTCCTTGGTGCCGAGGACAGGCATCATCATATTGCTTGCTTGAGAGCCATTGGTGCCAATGACACATGTCAAAAAATCCTATTCCTTCTCAAAAATGTCCCATCATTTTGTCTATGAAGCAAAAAAGTAATATTAGATGATGTTCTAGATATTGAGAAGTTTACATTGGTTTTCTACCGACCAAGTAATGGCTAGAGTCTCCAACATTGAAAGATGATTTGCCCAATTTTAAAACATAACGGGAATGATAGAGTAATTAGTGTGAATCCTACTTAATACTCTAAAAAATATCAAAATTCTCAATATTTATCCCCAATAATTAATTTTTTCACGCATATTTGAAGGAAATTGTAACCAAAACTAGTGAAGGGCTATCTTGTTACTACTAGTTATAACCCGTGTCTTCAAGTACGATAAAATATAAAATTTGATCGTTTAAAAATTAATTTTATTATACTAAATAATATTTTTTTATTCTTTCATTTATTTGATTCATAATTTAAAATTAATTTCTATATATTATTTTTTTTAAAAATGATATCAAAATTTTATCAAAATGTAAAACTTGACAAATTTTTTCAACACGTGTACATTATCATATATGAACAATGTATGATATAATAATAATGTTAAACTACAAATAAAACAAATATTAAATGATTAAATATGTGATAAAATTGAGTGATGAGATAATTTTGGGGGAAAAAATATGTGTGAGATAAAAATTCAAATTCTTAGGTGTTTTATTATATAGATTTTATGGCATTAAAGGTGCAATGTACTTGTTAAAAAAAAAAAGTGCAATTTGTTTGAAAGATTTTAAAATTTTTATTTTATATCCTTAAAGATTTTTTTTTTTAATATTATACCTTCAATATATGAGTGTGTAATATAGTCTTTCTGTTAAATTTCATTATTTTTTTTGGGTCAAAATCTAACCTATTGACACTAACTAAAAAATCAATGAAAAATTTATAGAAGCGTTACATTACAATACTTTTGATACATTAATGATATATTGCAAGAAATTTAATTTTTGAGTGTATAAAATGAAAAACTTTAAAATTTTCAGGATAGAAAGTGAAATTCGTCTAAAAATTAATGATTAGGATAAAAATTGAAAATTGAAAATTTTTTTGAGGTACCAAGTGTAATTCAGCTTTCCGTACCCCCCATATAAAAATTGCAAGAGCCCTCGCTGCGAAGTTCCAAACGTGAAACCTCACTCGAACGCTCTGGTTGTGGTGCAATCGATTGAGTACAAAACTAGGGTTCCAAAATTCGCAAAAATCAAACTTCTGACCTTTTAAATTCTTGACGAAAGCGCTTTTAATCATGGAGAGTGCGTTCGCGAGCGCCTCTGCGATCAGTGACCAGAGGCAGAAGATCGAACAGTACAAGCACATCCTCTCCTCCGTCATCGCATCAAACGACGTTGGGCAGGCAAAAAAGTTCATTGATCACAGTTAGGATTTCACGGTTTGATGATGATTTATTTCAATTCCTTATTTAGAGTTAACACATGTTTGATGCTTCTCTTGAATGGCAGTTTTATCGGATGATGTGCCGTTGGTGGTCTCGCGGCAGCTTTTACAGACGTTTGCGCAAGAGTTGGGGAGGTTGGAGCCTGACGCTCAGAAGGAGGTTGCCCATTATATACTCAATCAGATTCAGCCTCGAGTTGTATCATTCGAAGAACAGGTTCGTTTCTAGCATTCCTCTTATCAGCTATATGTACTGATAGTTCACATCGTGTGTTTGGAATGGTTTAAATGTTGCATAGGGTTTTTTGATTCCGTGGGATTCAGAATGGATGGATTCGTACACGGTGCTTTGACAATCAGAGTGTTTAAGGAAAGTGTTATACTACCGTACTTCCGATGTGTAATGCGAAAGTCATTCAGATGATTGTAGTTTTCTCAGTTCTTACTGATGGTAATAAGTCGTAGAAAGGAAATTTCAAGAATAACCAGTGGTCTCATAGCAACTGCTTTATTTTGTCCAAAACATGTTGAGGTAAATCTTTATTGACTTATGGGAGGGCTGTGAGAACTAATTGTAGATTCATGTTTTCATGCTTGTGAACATATTCAACTAAGTTTATCCATGAAACCTAAGTTCAGGTGGGGAATATGTACAATATTGGGGGTCGCAGCTCTTAGGAATGTTTTATGGAGATACGTGCATGATATCTAAGAAGTGTCATGGATCAAGTTCGAATTCATCGAAATTGCTGGGGGCTTACATTTTTTCAAAGGAGTTATTTTGAAATTAATGTATGTTTCCCATGATTCTACTTTGAAAAGATTTAGTAGCGTCTCAAGCCTAGTTGGAGTACGAATTCAAAAAAAGTTTCTGCAAGTTTTTTTTAGATCTGATGACAATCCATCAGAATTATTTTGAAATCAGTGAAATTCACGAAATACGTACCAAGAATTCATTTTTACATGGTAGGTCAATAATTCAATAAGAGCATTCTAGTGTTACTCCTGCCAAAACTGTGAGAGGTGGGATTAGCATCAACTATATCTTTTTTTCTCAAAATTGCTGCCCTTGGACTAGAAAAATGTTCTGACTCAAGAAAGCTAAAGCATTTACCATAGCACACTGTGATTAAGCCAAAATATAATTTCTTGGTTGGAACTATAGTTTGTTTTATTCTCCTATTAAGCTACCAAACAAAGCAGAAAATCTGTAACTTGCTCCTTTATTTTTAATAGGTTTTTCTTCTGCCAATTTTTTTCCCTGGGATATACAAATGACCAGGGTGCTGAATGTTGCCACACATCCAAACTCCACGTTCCATAGTATTCTCATGTAATCATTGTAATTATATAGCAGTAGGAAAAACGATCATCATCATATAAAGAAGAAATCCTTTAGCTTTTATATTCTGTTGATTGAGTGTAATTTTTTGTTGCACCGTTCTCCTCTCTGTGAGTGAATTGCAGGTGTTAGCAATTAGAGAGAAGCTGGCAGAGTTGTACGAGTCTGAACAGCAGTGGTCAAAAGCAGCCCAGATGCTCAGTGGCATTGATCTAGACTCTGGAATGAGGTATGATATTGAACTTCTTCCCCACATTTGTTGCAAACCTAGTGAATTTGTTATTCATTCTTTACTTTATGTCCTCAGGGTGATTGATGATACATTCAGGCTGTCAAAATGTGTCCAAATTGCTCGCTTGTACCTTGAGGTACTTTCCGATCTTGTTCTGCAAGCTTATTAGTTTGAGATCCTATAATCTATTACTTGTGTACATAAATGTATATCATGCCTTTGGTCATGGAAACTTCCATATGTTAGATGCTGGATGGACTATGTATATCTGTGAAAGATCCTTTGTGTGAATTTCATTATGGGTATGTGCACGCAAAGAGAATTCAGGAGGTTTCCTTTCTGTATGGAGTAAAAGGTACAATCTGTGTTGCTGGGTAATGCATGGTAAGGTATATATTACATATGTTAACATTGATGCTTTTGGACATGGAAACTGCTTGTTTGTAGAAGTGGAGATGGCTTACAAATGTGGGTATTAGTTGCACTTGTGTAAGTGCAGTTATTATGCATGCATTGAGAACCAAGGATAATTATCCTCCATGGTTGATGAAAATTTACTGGCCAATAGCAATTGTGTTGCAGTGACCAATCTGTAATTTCTCAGTAGCTGCTACTTTGCTTGCCTAATCTCTAAAGCAAACCAAGGTGGACATAATTCTGTGTTATGTAGTTTGATAATTGAGCCTGTTGAGTCAACCAGCATTCTCCATGATGTATATTGGATAATTAGCGAGGGGATGGTGCATGGAGCCACGGAGTACACATCCAGACTATTCGATTCTTAACTGTGTTTTGTATGTCATTTGTTTTTACGATCTCATGGCAGTGTAAAAGAGTGGTTTGAGTTGCTCTATAATTATCTTGGTAAAGTTGGCATATAGATTCGAGTGGCATGGTTGAGTAGGGTTTTCAGTGTAGCTTCCCATCATGGCATGCATATGCCTGTCTGTTATTTATTCTCTGTGCTCATAGTCTCAATGTCAGTATCAGGAACCTGTATAGATTGAGTAGAATTTACAGTTTAGCTTCGCATCACAGCATACATATGCCTGTCTGTGGTTCTCTGTGTTCATGGGCTCAATGTTGGTATCAGGATTCAGTATATAGGTTTTAAGTGGAACTGACCAATGTGATTTCTTATTTTGCAGGATGATGATGCTGTTAACGCAGAAGCTTTTATTAATAAAGCTTCATTCTTGGTTAGCAACAGTCAGCAAGAAGTATTGAATTTACAGTACAAGGTTGACAGTACGACAGTGAGAATTTCTGTTTTGATAGTTGGAATGGTCAGCATTAAGTTGAATATATTCCTTTTCTTTTCCCTGATTCCAGGTTTGTTATGCAAGGATTTTAGATTTGAAAAGAAAGTTCTTAGAAGCTGCACTACGTTATTATGCTATTTCCCAAATTGAGAAGCGCCAAATCGGGGATGAGTATGTACCTGCTAGAATGGAGTTGAATTATATAGTGTAAATATTTATGGAAGTTTGTTTTTTGTTTCTTTTGGGGAAGAATTTTCCCCTCTTTAGCAATTGAGCACATCTATAGGCTATATTAATTTTGCTTTTTCTGGCAGTGGTTTGTCAATTCATGGTCTACTATGTGTGCAGAAGCCTCGAGTTGTACATGCTCTTTAATTCTTTGCGAACTTTGCACATTTCTGCCCTCCCTCTATGGGTGGCCAACTCCCATATAACTGATGGTTACTGTTATACATCATGGTCATTGGTTGTACTCTTTCATTTCCTTATAACACTTTGCTTGTATTGCATAAGTTGGATTTCGAGACTTTCTTCTCCAATTATAAATTAGTTCCATTTCTGAACTGAGTAGAGATTGTAGAAATCTGAGGATCAAAATTTTGAATAATATGCCATGAAATCACAACTTTGTTTTATTTCTTGGCTGAGTATATCAAATAAGTGTTGGACTTAAATGAAGTTGATGCCTGGAACTGGTAAGGAATTAGCAGTAAAATATTGCAGAAGATGTTGGAAGATTGATATCTATGTTCAAGGGAATATTTCTTTCGCTTTTCCTTCTGGGTGGGGTTTTTTTTCGAAGTGCTGGGTGGGATTTTCCCTGGTTGAAGACATGTAGACCTCTGCCTTTCATGTGTCTGTGTGTTGTGTACAATTTCTATGTTCACTAGATTTCTAGGTTGATGTTACGACCAATCAATGTGTTACCTGGACATGGTTTTCACATCCCCATTTGGTGCCTTCAAATATACTTTTGCTATCAAAATAGAACAGCATGCTGTGTCACATGAACAGTACCTTTCAGATTTTTCCTTTCGAAGATATAAATTACTGGGTTTTGCAAATTGGAAAATCAAGAGTTTTTTCGGATATTGTTTAAATTGTTCCTGATGCATTGCTTGGCATATCTATTGTCTTCCTTGTCCTTTATTTACGTAGAGGTGGTTATACTGTTAGTAAAAAGAGTTTACAAATAGGTGCACTTGGGTTACTCTATTGATCTTTTATTTTTCTCAGAGAGATTGATGAAGAAGCACTTGAGCAAGCATTAGCTGCTGCTGTGACATGCACAATTTTGGCTGCTGCTGGTCCTCAACGATCTCGTGTTCTTGCCACCCTGTACAAGGTAAATATTGTTGCTGATGATTAGAAGATAAGTTTGTGAAATCAGTTTTGTTCTCGAGCTGTCTTAATCATTTCTCTTTAGTAAGTATCTAAAATAACTTAACATTGGGATTGAAGTACCTTTGTCTTGGCTTGTAAAGCTATTTTTGTTTCCCTTTCTTAAGTCATGGCCTTTTCCTATGTGTTTGAATGAATCATCTGAACGCTTTTATTCTTTTTTTTTTTTTTTCTGGTCTAGAATCTTCTATGTTGTAGATTGTAGTTCTCTCTCTGTCCCCCCCCCCCCCCTTTTTTTTTTTTTTTTTTTT